AGACAAGTTGCGCTGGCATATTATTGGATTATCTGAGGTCCGAAGGGAGGGGAGGACACGGTAATCCTCGAGTCCGACAACTTGTTCTATCACCGGGAGGGCGACCATCTGTCCCAAGGAGGTGTCGGATTTATCGTCCACAAGTCTCTCGTCAACAACGTTGTAAAGATTGGGAGTGTGTCAACGAGGGTCGCGTACCTGATACTCAGAATCACCAAACGGTATTCGCTGAAGGTCATACAGGTCTACGCACCAACCTCGGCACATCCCGATGAGGAGGTGGAGGAAATGTATGAGGATATTTCTAGAGCCATGCATTCTCCAAAACCCACATACGGTGTTAATGGGAGACTTCAACGCAAAACTAGGCACAAGAGAAGGCGGTGAGCTGAAGTTAGGGAAATTTGGAGTAGGGCAACGGAACCGTAGGGGCCAGCAGCTGGCTGACTTTATGGAGAAAGAGGGACTCTTTATGATGAACTCTTTCTTCCAGAAGCGGCCCCACAGGAAGTGGACCTGGTCGAGCCCCGACGGTTCGACAAAAAATGAAATTCAGTACGACGACCAGACGACAACTGTTCAGTGATGTCTCAGTGATCGCAAGGGTGAAAACCGGCAGCGATCACCGAATGGTTAGAGGCACACTGAACCTAAACGTTAAGTTGGAGAGGTCTCGTCTAATGAAGTCAACGCTCCGTCCCCCTCGTGCTCTAATCCAGAATCCCGAGACTTTACAGCTCGAGTTACGTAACCGCTTTCAGTGCCTAGAAGATTGCAATGCAGTGGACGATATGAATGACAAGCTCGTGGAAACTGTCCATGCGGTCGGAGCTAAGTTCTGCAAGACCCGCCGCAGAAGAACACAAAAACTCTCCGATCACACTCTTAATCTCATGGCTGTTAGACGGTAGATGAGGCTGCAATCGTCAACAGATTTGACAGCATACAGGCAACTGAACAGACAGATCTCCAAATGCATGCGGCAAGACTTACGCAACTTTAATACTGCTCGTATTAAAGAAGCGATCGAGCGGAACCAGGGCTCCAAAGTCTTTGCCAGAGATCTGTCTGCCAGAAAGAGCCAACTGTCAAAGCTGAAGACTGTGGCAGCATCGTTTCCGGGACACCTGAGATTTTGAGTGAGATTGAGAGGTTCTATGGGCAGCTGTACACATCATCGTTGGAGCCACACGCAAGTGTGAGTAACGATACAAGAGCAAGTCTATTACGATGATATCCCGGACGTCAGTCTGAGCGAAATTAGAATGGCTCTCCAGCATCTTAAAAACGGCAGGGCCCCAGGCGAGGATGGAATTACAGCGGAGCTTCTGAGAGCGGGTGGAACACCGGTACTTGAAGTCCTTCAGAAGCTCTTAAATTCCGTCCTCCATGGTGGCACTACTCCGGAGGCGTGGAGCAGAAGTGCGGTGGTCTTGTTCTTTAAGAAAGGCGACAACGCTCTCTTGAAGAACTACAGACCGATTTCCCTTCTGAGCCGCGTCTACGTGCTGTTTTCGAGAGCCATTACGAATCGTCTCGCACGCAGACTCGACGACTTCCAGCCTCCCAAACAAGCCGGTTTCCGAAAAGGCTTCAGTACCATAGACCACATACATACCCTGCGGCAGATTGTACAGAAGACCGAGGAGTACAATCTGCCACTTTGCCTGGCGTATGCGGATTATGAGAAATCCTTTGATTCCTTCGAAATTTGGGCGGTGCTACAGTCACTTCAGCGGTGCCAAGTTGACTGTCGGTATATCGAGGTGCTGAAGTGTTTGTACAGTAGGGCTACGATGGCTATCCGAGTATAGAACCAGAGTTTGAAACCTATCCAACTGCAGAGAGGTGTAAGACAGGGTGACGTTATATCCCCGAAACTCTTCACCGCTGCGGTGAAGAGTTTCGGGAGTTTCGGGAATTGGAAGACGTTTTCAAGCTACTGGACTGGAAAGGATACGGTATTAACATCAATGGCGAGTACATCACTCACCTTCGATTTGCCGACGATATAGTCCTTATGGCAGAATCGCTGGAGGACCTTGGCACTATGCTCAATGACCTCAATGGTGTCTCCCAACGGATAGGTCTTAAGATGAACATGGACAAAACAAAGATTATGTTCAATGTCCATGTCACACCTATGCCGGTAGTTGTGGGGAGCACTATGCTCGAAGTTGTTGACGAGTACGTTTACCTGGGACAAATAATCCGACTAGGTAAGTCCAACTTTGACCGAGAGGTCAATCGACGGATTCAACTCGGCTGGGCAGCGTTCGGGAAATTACGAACACTAATTAATTTTTTCTCGTCAGGTATAACTCAATCTCTGAAAACTAAAGTGTACAACCAGTGCGTGTTGCCAGTGATGACTTACGGATCAGAGACGTGGTCCTTCACTGCTGGCCGTATGTGGACGCTCAAGGTTGCTCAGCGAGCTATGGAGAGGGCTATGCTCGGAGTTTCTCTGCGTGATAGATTCAGAAATGAGGATATCCGCAGTAAAACCAGAGTGACTGACATAGCCCAACGGATTAGTAAGCTGAAGTGGCAAGGGGCCGGCCATATAGCTCGAAGAACCGATAACCGATGGGGAAGAAAGGTTCTCGAGTGGCAGCCTCGTACCGGTAGGCGTAGTGTAGGGCGACCCCCCACTAGATGGAGTGACGACCTGGTAAGACATGCAGGAAGTCGATGGATGCAGGTGGCTCAGGACCGTGCTTTGTGGCGTTACTTGGGGGAGGCCTATGTTCAGCAATGGACTTGTGAAGGGATGTAATGATGATGATGATGATGAATTATTAGATTAAGTTAGGGCGATAGGCAATTACAGTTCTTGCATAGGTTAGGTATAGGTTTCACTAGAGCGTTGCGGAATTATTATTTACCCACATTGACATAAGATTGAAATTTAAATGAATTATTGCGTATGCACTTGTAAATTGTGACTATTATTATCATAAGTAGTAACTTATGGCAATACGAAAAAATATAACTAAACATACATGTTTAGATATATTTTTTCATATTGCCACGGTACGGATCCTTGTGGTGAAATAAAATAAGAAGTAAAATAATTTCTTATATTGACACAGGACATATTTGTAGATGATTGTGATATTGCAAATTTTTATGCCTGTGACTAATAAAGATTTTTTGTTTAAATAAGTAATTGATGTAGTTTTTATTACTTACCTCAAAGTTACCGTTAACCTTTCTTCTGCTGGAATAGCTTTGGGAAATGTTGTATCTCGAAATGTAATCACAAGACCTACCAAAGCCAGCAACTCATCGAAAGAGTTTATAGACATACGAAGATAATTAAAAAACTTTGGTGGATACTGACGTAATTCAGAATATATAGTGTAGAATTTTCCTTTAAATAATCTTTCCATGTATATAGGATGCACCCAGTAGCGTTTTTTCCGTTTCATTTTTCTTCTACGTATTTCAAGAGCACAAATCACGTCAACCTCGTTGAAGTCCATTACAAAAATGAACGCGATTTGTTACCCAAGAACAGATTCAGTGAGCGCATCGTGGGTGACAGCTGGTGATAGTAATCACAGAACACTATTACTCCATAGTAATAATAAATCACGGTGACAAAAAATTGCAATCAGCGGCGGGCGTAGACAGAGCATCCTAGAGTCTACGGCGGCGGGCCTAACCTTCATGGATCTGTGGTCAAGATTAGGGATGATCGATGTTGCCGAAACATCGATGATGACATCGATGTTAGTATCGATAGTTTGACATCGATGTTCGATGTTCATCCTACTCGAAACATCGATGTTGGCCATTAACGATGTTTTTGCACATTCACCTATTTAATAGGTTTATATTAGATGAATAAAAAATTAGTAATGTTATTAATGGTATACGATTAATGAAATCAAAGAAATTAATCAAAATTTTTGTGTGAAACATTAGTTTAAAAAATTGGAAGAAGTTAACAAATGTCTAGTTCTTTTCTTATATTTATTGCCGATGATGATGAATGTTATTATTTTGATCTTTAAAAGTTCTTGTACACTTTTTTGAGACCTTATTTACGATTTAAACGTATGTTTTATATCAACTACTCTCTGATTATAGAGAAAAATTAACAAACTACACAAAAACGAAATAATAGAAATTTCCATCACCTTTGTTCATAATTTTAAATTCGGCAGCTCAAGCAGTTAGTTTCCACAGCCGTTTATAAAGTGCATTTTCGAATGCACTCTGCAGTGCAATGGACTATGCTCACGATCGCTTAGTGATTAGTTTTCATAACCTTCAAGCAAACTATAAACTCTTGCTTTTTGAATTTATAGTTTGCTTGAAGGTTACAGCAAACAAGCTCAAAAAAGCAGCTAAATATAATTGAATTTTGTAAATACTTACATATTGTTTCAAAATTATGTGGTTTTAGACAGCAAGGGAAACAACAATTAATTTGAATATCAATTTACGTAGAATATTAATTAGTCGACAACCGACAACTACATCTCAGAATAACAAAGCGAAAGCATTAAAGTGTATTGTATTAGAGTTCACACTTGACTGTTAAATTTGACGCACCATAATGATATGTTTGAGGTGATCTATGCGTATGCACGCGGAACTAGTTGGCCGCACCTTAGGTGGTGGCAGGGGTGAAGGGACGGTTTGCTTTGTGATGAGATTAGACAGTGATGACCAATCTCGTAATATCGTGAACAATAATTTTTCAATTATTGAATTTGGAATTCTGAATTATTGAAACTTTTAATCCTTCAATGGGGGATGCAAGATTTAGTTGATATTGATTTCGCGGATTTTGATTGTTTACAAGTTTTTATTTATCGATTATGGGTTCATTGACATCGATGTTTTGATGTTTGACATGTGGCAACATCGATGTTTTAATTTTTAACATCTATGATCATCGACATCTCTAGTCAAGACCACTCAAGTGACTCAAGTCAAGATGAAGTAAAATAAACGTCAGTGAATTTAAATTCTAATAAATTTTAATGTTTGTATTTTGTGTTTGTGTTAAAAACGTTAAAGCTATAAATCATTGTAAGTTTATAAAGGTTTTTAAGCCTGTGACTAATATAATTTTAAGTAAATTTATTGAGATAGCGAAATTAATCAGGTTTAAATTTTCATAGGTTTTAAGAAATCCTATCTTCATATAGGAAGGAAACTGATTATGTCACATTCAAACGATTGGAAAGGTGCACCATTGTCAATGATCTATGGATCAGAAACACCATGGGGTGCCCCAGAATTTCCACCGGTACAACCAGGACACAACCATGCCGTTTTGTATCATATCCCAAGTAATGGTGTCTTGGCGGAGGATAGACCTCCGAAACCACAAATAGGCCAAGATAGATGGGATCAACATCATGTGAGGCTGCCCTGTTCTAAACAAAGTCTGTATCCTGTACCAGATGTGAGTTAATGAATAGTAACTTTATACATTATCATATTAATTCTTGTGTTCTGTGAAGAATAGTCAGGTAAGGTTTACAATTCGGTCGCCTGAATTAGGTTTATTTTAAAAAATCTTATTTTGAGGTTACGTTTCATAATTTTTATGACAATTTTAACCTGATTTATGGCGAGAGAGAGTTATGGGACGGAAGCCCTATGCCACTTAATGTGGTGCAATTGAAGGAAACACGGTCGATGGAGCCCCGCTTTGCGAGGCTCCTACTTCTGAGTGGTTTATAACAAAATAACCATAAGAATTTCTAACCTAACCTGTCCGCGTCGGGGTGCCCCACGTCCCAGGCTCGCTTCGCTCACTATTGCACTCAATATAACACCAAAATATTAACTTTTATAACTGCTTTAATTTATAAACATAATTTATGGCTGCCTTCATTTGTAAGAAAGGATCTTTGTGATATTTAGCAGTATTCCGCCACCACAAATATTCCATTATTCACCAAAATTCTGAAACTCGGAAGCAACCATACAAACTGTGGAAGCAACGGCATGACGAAAAGCTGTCAACAAAATGGCCGGCCTTGCAATTAATTTTACACATTTTTAAATAGATTTGAATCTAAATCTTAAGGATCAATTTCGCAAAAATCGATCTTTTTTTGATTTGCATTAAAAGTTTATATTTACAATATCAAAAGATGCAATAAAGTACACATAACATTGAATGATTGAATTTAAAAACTGTCATTCTTTACGAGTTGGGGTACATTCAACTAATTGTAAATAATTTTATAAATCTTAATAAAACAGATAAGGATTCGTTCTTGTTTCACTAGGGTAAAATACCGATTCACTAGATTGATTCAGTACTAAATCTATCTAATCATATCAATATGACATTGATAGGTGAAACATCAAAAACGTGAGAATATTTTATTAATTGGTAATTTACCAATATTTTTAAAAAATAATTAAAATTCGAATTCAGGCGACCGAATTGTAAACCCAACCCAAATAATTAAAAATACTTCGACGCTGCTCCGGCAGCAAAAATCGCGTGGGGGTGCTTCAGATAAACCCCCTTGACAGTAACAGAATCTTCAAATTCAGGCGACCGAATTGTAAACCCAACCCGAATAGTCCAGCTTTAGAATTGGTGTTAATAAACCTGGGGTATTTCACATAAGGCTATAGAGCTTTTGATATTTGTTCACATTCACCCTAATTGTACTTCTTGGAGTGAAACTAAACACAATATTTGGTAAAACTATATACATCCTGTACTTGTGTACAGGCGTGAGAAAGGGTTGGTGCAGGAGAAGCCATCCTACACTTCCCCCCTTGTGGAAATGTATAGTTTATGAGTAATGATTAGATTAGTTTATGAGAATTGATTACTTTTGTTAAATCATATTTTATCATTTTACGTGGTAGAGCCACGCTGCAGCTATATATATTATAGTTGAAGCACGAATGGTTATACGGACTAGCAGCATAATGCTGCTGTGTTTGGTATTGTGAGTGTAGAGAACTGAAGACTCTTTTTATTATTGGAATCTAGGCATTCCATCGTAGTCCTCAGGGGTGACAACTCATTTGCATTTTGATTCTTAATTAAGGATAAAAATGTGGATGTCTATGGGCTACAGCATCCACTTACCATTAGTTGGACTGTGTCCTCGTTTGTCACCCAATGCTATAAAAAATACCTCAACACAGGAATATTTACCCAAAGTTACTTACACAACAGCTTTGGCGTTGTGGGAAGTGCAGCCCCTTCGCCCTTGAGTAATAATTCATAGGCACCCATGCTTACCTCTGCAGCTTAGGCTCGCATGTCTGCCTGCAATTTGCTTCGATGGGCGGTGGATACTCTCCCTCCGTGCCTAAAACTTTACAAAAAAACTAGGGGTAGGGTAGAGTAATGACTATGTGGAGTCAGGGCATGCTGTTTCGGTTTTAGAACAGTTTCGACAAACCCTATCTATAAAATCAGGTTGCCCTAAACTCTACTATGATAGTGGTAAATGTAATGTGAATTTTTTTTAAATAGATTACAAAAAATGCAGGGTTATTTTGCAATAACTGGCCAAATTTGCAGAGAAGGTGCAAAATAGGTAATACAGGCAAATGGTGAAGAAAAATTAATTTAGATTTTTTTTTTATAGAATAGGGTGATAAACGAGCACACAGTCCACCTGATGGTAAGTAGTTTCTGCGGCCCATAGACATCTACATCTATCCTCCATTAAAAATCAAAATGCAGATGCGTTGTCACCCATGAGGACTGAGATGGAATGCCTCGTTTCCAGTAAAAAGGGTATCCGGTTCTCTACACTCACCATACGAAATACAGCAGCATTAAGCTACTATTTCACGCTGGTATTCTGTGAGAGCGTGGTCCTTCCCTGGTCGAGCCGACCCATTCGTGCTACAACTATACTACTAATATAACTGCACCATGGCTCTACCACGTAAAGAAGACATCAGTAAATTCTGAAACATTGTCCTTTTTATTCTTTAAATTGAAAATGCATGGTAATGCATTATTTTAACTGATTTTATATTTCGTAAGGGTCGATCGGTAGGCAAAAACATTGTTGCTCTTAATCACATTGAATTTGGGATAATATCAAGTAAAAGTAGAAGCCTTATTAAATCAAATTTGGCTACTCTTTGAAAAATAACCCCGTATAACTGATAACCTTTCTCAGAGATTTTTCAGTACACCATTGAAAATCTAAAATAGCAGTGGAGAGGGAGGGAAGGGACCAAGCCCAGTGAAGCAGATTTTGGCTATTGTTGCCCTTATTACGACTGACTGGTATTTGAATCCGCCTATAGTAGTCAGATAATCTGACCACTATGACATGCGGCTGTGCGTGAAAGTAGCTTAAACTATCTGTGAACTTAAGTGACACTGGGTATGCCATCGGTCATTAATGTGGTATAATTCTATAAGATATAAATAATTATTTTGCAGAACAAAGGTGGGTCACGGTTAAGGAAAAGATGGGCTATAATAGAAAATGCCTTGAAGAGACCAATACAAAACAGTGAAGAGTTGGCAAATGCCATATTGGCTTATAACACGAAGTTCAAAAGTAGGTGGAAATTCAGAGCTCTCCATAGGTTATTTAATGAGGTAAGTTATGTTCAATATGTTCATATTGGTTTTGTTTTGCCCTTGGTGTAATTACTTATAGTCAAATTGTAACTTATTTTGAAGATGTGTGAAGTTTGCCAACACTGTGGTGGCAGCAAGGTGGTTTTTTTCTTGCCCTAAAACCCTCTTAGAGATTAGAAGAGGCCTATACCCAGAGTGAGATATATATAGGTTGTAACTTTACTTGAACTCAATTCAAATTATTACAAATCCATAAACCTAGTAATACCAGTTTCTCGAATACACAGATTCAGTAATTCATTCATGAAAAAATATATATTATACTGTTAAATTAAAGTCCCAGAAAATAAACAAGGTCTCACTATTACCAAGTTAAAATATTTTACTAACCAAAACTGTATGAAAAGATTTATAATATAAATGAATTCATAGTTGATAATAACCACTGGGAATTAGGTAGTCGCTTTCAAGCTGTTTATTAAATACATTCTCTAAGTAGTTTGTGCAAAAAGGGATTGGGATTTTTTTTGAAAAAATAAAGGCTAGGTTTCTTGCTACTTATTCCCATTATATTATCCCAGAGGTTTTTATCCAAAACAGTGTTAAAATGAAAAAAAAAATGACTCAATAACAATGAAATTGAATTACTTGTTATCTATATTGAATAAAAAATATTCTATACTCAATGATATTAGAAGTAAAAAGGTGTAGATAGGCTACCTACACAATATTCGATTTACGTTAAGTTACAGCACACTAACGCACACATAAATAATTAAATATTGCAATAGCACACCACATTACGATTAGACGTCAAAGTAGGATGGCATGATTCTGTTAAGGATTATGGGGATAATTAAAGATATAATCATTGTTAATTAACAGATTCAACTATCGCAAGCTTAAAAGAGACAAATGTAATTTGCGACAGTGCGTCATCTTATGTAGTAGGAACGATGTAGAATAATTAATCAGATTCGACATTATACCGTACACCGTGATTTATGCCTAAAAATGCGATTCACTCATGAGTTCATGTAGTAAAAGTAATAAAGTGGTAAAAATGAATTAAAAGTAGGAAAATAAAAAAATATAATTCATTTTATTAAAATTTTAATATCAAATATACGCCACCTCGTTAGGACATAAAACAAATAAATGGAACTTATAATTAATAATGATATAGTTAATTTACCCTTCCCTAAAACAAGAAATACCCTATTTGAATTGACGATACTCAAAAGAGATCTATCTGTTTATTTTATATTCTTTGATCTGACACAATATCACTTGTCTTTCAAACTCACTCATTTGGGTATTTTTATCCCTCTCAATTTTTCTTACAATATATTTTAAAATACGTAATTTTTGAGTTCGTAAAAAATACGTAATAAATTAAGGAAATAGTAAATGAAAGAAATATAATTCCTATTGACTTTTGAAAACCATTCTAGTGTAGTTTCTGCAGAATCTCATCACATACGACGGCATTTTCGGTGCTAAAACAAAACGCAAATAACTTTCAACGGCATTGTGAATGACGCGATGATAGCGTGTCGACTGAGCTCAGGTTTGCTAATTAGCATAGTTTTTACGTGCCACTTGCGGTGCGCGTAAGCATAAAACAATGTTAAGAAAAATATTGAAAAAATCTTTTTAAAAACTTTGCTTTAAGGCCGAATACGACGCGAATGACCTCGCAGCAAACCACGCACCGCCCGTACGCTTTGTTTATATAGACATGTATAATATAATCAAAGCCGTACGGGATTTGATTATGTTATATTTGACTGAGCTAGCTCAGTATGCAGAGTAATGAACAACACAGAGAGCATTGCTTACTTCTTAAATAAATCTTTCTTATTTATAATATTAGTTCCTATAGATTATAAATTCTGTACTTTGTTCGTTATAAAATATTGTTCGAAAAGTTATTGAATTGATAACGGTTTTTTTTTTCTTAATTGGTTCATCGTACGTAAGGAACCTCATATAACTGAAAATGTTTGTTCTTGTGAGTCTTACAAGATGCCGTAATGCAAATTGCATAAATAATAAAAAAAAAAAAAACTAAAAAGTCGATGATTGCCCCATAGTGGGGATAGGTACTGTGTATGTAAATTCTCACAAGACTACTGCGACTGGTCAATCACTTCACATCCGAAGTATTTCGGTTTTTCTTAATTATGTACTTATCCCATGCTTTCGGACAATACATTGACTATAACATTATTTGCGGTCTCTGTGCTTGCACTACTCTTTACATTCTTTTCCGACTGGGTCTTGATATTTACATTTTTAGTGTTTCTCACTTGAAACTAGAAAAGTATAAATGATCAGTTTGGCTAATGTAAATGAGTAAAAATGCAACCTATTAGACAGCCTCAAACAAAAAATTACCTTACAAAAATATAAGTATTAACCTAAAAATACAACATTCGAGCAGCGTTCATGCGATAAACTCTCTTTGTTTTACCACTTAGGTAACATTTATTTCTTTTGCTACCCTTATTTACATTTATAGTCACTTAAACGCGTATAAAACACAAAATTAACGATTTTCGCTACAGACACATCGACTGTTGTTACCTTACGTCACACGTCGAAGCGTCTGGTAATTTATTACGGCAAACTTTTATCTGGCAATATACGATATTATTATTAGTTGTTTTTAATTAAAACGAATTATGTTAATAAATAATATTTTGTATCGAAAATAAAGACAGCAGGCACCTTCGGAATCACAATACAAACATTTTTACGTAAAATAATTTTTCCTAAATTAAAATTCACAGAGATTTGGAAGAACAATCATTTTTAAATATCATTTCTTAACATTTTTTTATTTGTTGGTATATTCATTTATTTTAAAATTTTAAAACTGCGGTCACCTTGTGAAGGAACCGAACAAACCTACAAAAAATGTTTTAAGGCTTAGAATTACTTCAGGTCAAAGTTGTAGTGAAGAGAAATACATTAAATTTCGCCAGTTCTCTTCGTATTCGGCCTTAAGGAAACCAGTTTTTCTACTTACAATTTTTATTTTATTTTAGTGCTTAGAAGAAGATGAATCACAATATTTCTTCAATGTAACACTACCTGATATAATCAAGTTAGCACTGGATTTGCCAACATTGGTTCAAGCGCCAATACCATTGCTCAAGTAAGTTTTAATAAAGGACATAATAATAATTTACTTAATACCCACTAACACTAATAATTTATTTTTAAAGTATGTTTTAGTTTGATGATTAAGTTGTAATAAACTTTTGAAGATATAATCAAAAATCAGTGAAATATCCTGACGATCTTTTACATCCACTTTAACACATTTACTGTCCTGTGACCCACATATGGGTCATTGCTTCTAGTCTTAGTACAGTTGATCTCCAGTAAGCCGGCCCCTGGCTAATCCATACCCCCTTGTAATCCTACATGCTATTAACATATAGGTACAATAATTGAGTCACATTTTGAATCCACCAAGGGGGGAGCTATTCTTCATGAATAGGTGGACAAACAAGTTCTTGGCACCACAAATATATCTTGACGTGGAGACTCTTTGTCTCTGTGTCAGTTTAAATGTGACTATGGTAACAGTCTAGTGGGCATTCATCATTTACTGTTAAGGCGACACCCTGAAAAAATGCACCTCCTTTTATCGAATAGTATAGGACTATGACACCACTAACGAAAGTGGGATTTTGATATAGGTAAATTCATGTCTTTATCTTGAATTTGATTGCTCAAAAACACGATTGTATAATTTTGACTCGATCATAATTATTTGCGAAAACACTTCTAAAAAATCACTATAGTTGAAATTACAACGAAATCATTTGATCTATATGCTTGGGAATCACTCAAATATATTCATAACATCAATATTCATAATTTACTTGTTCATTATTTTGATAACTTAAATCAATAATTTTTTTTTAAATATTTTAAGACTCTGACAATTTCTAAGCGCTTTAAATCGTCGCGGGCGCTACGCAATTTTAGACCTTTTGACGGCGTTTCTTCAAGTTTTTATAGAAATTATGTATTCACTCGGATCAGTACGGCGATAGCGTTTTCGATGTGTCGTCTTAAGGTATTCATTATGAATTAGATGACATTTTTTATTTTTTATTATTTTATATTTGATATGTAATTTTTCCGATTACAAGATATTCATTTTCAAAAAGATCCAGATTGCCAGGGGGTTGTGGCAGTACTCTATAGTCCGACAAATTTGATAATCCAACACCACCTTGCAAAACATTTATTGAATTACCGCGGGTCAACTGTATTGTGTCTACAAACCAGAAAGTGAAAATGTTAAATAAGTTTTCTGGAAAACTTATTGACATATGTTTTTACTATCACCGATATTTTATTAAGAATTGAATGATTTTTTTTATAGGAGAGGGGCGGCGGCCCCCTACGGCTCACCTGATAACTATAGTTCCTCTCTGACATACACGCAAACTCCAGCCCGGGGCACAAAAGAGTGTTCTAATTTGTACCCCGGGTAGTAGAGATACGAAGCATCAGCCGGAGAGGACACCTGAGTCTCGGTTAGAAAGAGCAAGGCCGGCTTCGCCGTTTCCAGATGGTTGTGGACGGCGTTAAGGTTTGAATGAAATCCCCTGATGTTGCAGAAACTCATGTTGTAGGGGACACCTTATTGCTCCGTTTGCCCCCAACTGGTTTTAGTCTCGAGCGGAATTTTGGGTTGTGGTACCATCCCGGATTGAGCCGGCCCATACGTGCAACAGCAAAAGCTGCAGTGTGGCTCTACCGCTGTTAAAATATTGATAATTATTAAATATTATTTTAATTTTGTTAATTAAAGGGACTAAATTTTTACTTTGCAGGCAACACAAAAACATTTCTGTGTCACTGTCACAGCAACAAATTGCAAGCCTCTTAGCAAATGCATTCTTTTGCACATTTCCCAGGAGGAATAGCATGAAGCAGGATTCTGAATATGCATCATACCCTTTTATAAATTTTAATTCGTAAGTCTTACTTTAAATAATGAAAATTACTTGTAATTTTTTTAAAATAGCTCTTAAAAATCATACAACGTATCGTCACTGGAAAGCCAATAGCGCCATTTTCGCCAAAATGAGTTACAGTAAACCCTCGTTAACACGAACACGAAAAAAACAGACAAATAGTTCGTGTTACAGGGGAGTTCGTGTAATCCGAACAATGCAAAAAATGAATTCGTGTTTCTAAACTCAATATTATGATTCATCATAGAAACATTTTTATTAATAACTTTGATTTAATTATTTTATATTTACAATAATTTTTAAAAGCCAAATTGTTAAGAAGCCTATGCTTTTGTTAATTAGTTTTCGAAAGTTTACAACCTTTTCAATAGCTTTTGTAAGACGGAAAGAAAATTTTAGGTATTGTTTCTATTTTTAGGTACTCGAGTGAATGTTTGATATACTAATCATTTGTCTATTTTTAGAAACTCGAGTTAATGACTTTTCTAACCTCTTCAGCATTTGTTTACCTGTATTTGTATTGACCGAAAAAGGACAAAAATATACAAAATACATGATTTGGGAATTTTTATAGTTCGTATTATCCGATAATTAACCGTGAAGGGACGAAAAAGTTGTTCGAAGTTCGGATTAACGAGGATTCGTCTTAACTGAACATAATTACATGGAAGCTTATGGAACTATTGTCTAGAGCAAATTTTTGTTCGCCTTAAACCAAAATTCGTGTTAACCGTGTTCGCATTAACAAGGGTTTACTGTATATTTATTGTTGGATTGGATTTTTTTTCTGCGTTGATTAGTCTGTATTTCGTGATGATCTGAGCACTTAACCACTGTAAAAGTATGGTATTTATCATAATTTCATGTTTTGACAAATACTAGCGTAATACAAGTTATGACTAATTTCAGTCACTTGTCAGTATACTATTTTTCTTTACTGACAACAGACATTTCAATTTTGTTCAGCAACTCAAAATACTGTAGTTTGAGTCATTGATGTCACTTTAGTATTTTTTGTCGGCTTTAAATACTAGCTTATATGTAGATAAGTAAATTTGCTTTACGTAGAAATTGACAAGCATGGCGTGTTAGTATATTTTTTCTTCGCAGTTTTCTTAGAGGGAACGGTTTTAGTAACTTTGCTTTACATACTTAAGTATTTGAGTGACTATTTAGAATTTGTTACACTCAATGAAATTCAAAATACGGATGTCGAAAACGTTATCTAATTATAAATTTTAAAAGTTATTAAAAAGTATTTTAATTTTATAATTTATTTTAAATAATAATTATACTCAGGTATAGTAGATTTTTAATACTATTTATGTATTATTTTCCAAACTGCATGAGTAGATACAACTTTTTTTTACAAGCTATTCAAAATCTAATAAGTATATCAGTTTATTGTCTACGAAAATTGTGCCAAATAATAGGTTACTTTATACATAATAATTATTGTAGATTAATAATAAAATTATGTTGCGTGACTTTTGCCACATGTTTGCTACAAGTAACTAAGTTTTAAAACTGTCATGCCACTTTGTTATTAAAAGTGCTGTGTTTATTTTATTTTGCCACATGTTTGCTACAAGTAACTAAGTTTTAAAACTGTCATGCCACTTTTTTATTATTATTTTTCATTAAAAGTGCTGTATTTATTTTGTTTTTTCCTTCTTCAACAAATACAGTAAAAAGATTTTTTATAGGATAGGGTGACAAACGAGCACACAGTCCACCTGATGGTAAGTGGTTGCTGTGGCCCATAGACATCTACATCTATCCTCGATTACGAATCAAAATGCAGATGAGTCGTAGACAGAGAAACCTATAGATAATGATTAGCGTGGCCTCGAGTGAGAAAGGATGATACCGTAGTTTTAGGTTATACAATAATCTTTATGACTTTTAAACATATTTAGATAAAAATTTTAATTGTTCTAAGAACTGAACTGAACAAGATTCACCAATCTTAAGCTCACAAAATACTTTTTTTCTCACTTAAACCAACTTGTAAACTCCTTAGATCGCTACGAACTGTCAAAGTTGTTTAGCTAAGTGTAGTTTGCTAAACAAAGAAACCGGCACGGAGAAAGGGACAAACAATCACACCGCTCTGTCTCATTTCTATGCAAGACGTATGCATAAATCTATCTTTTTCGTGTGCCAATGCGAAAGAAGGCGTCAATTTGTCTATAGGTTTCTCTGTCTACGAGATGCGTTGTCAATAGAGATGGGCCGAATATTCGTTTTATATTCGGCATATTCCGCATTTTTAACGAATATTCGTATTCGGCGGAATATTCGGCTAAATCGCCGAACTTTCGTTAAAGTGGTAATCGAAGTGGCTACTGTATTGAAATGTTAGAATTGAGTATTGCCATGTCTTTCATAATTTGTTTGTTGTTTTATTATGTTGAAAGTGTATCTTATTTATGGGTTAAATCTACTTGTATAACTTTGTTTTTGAGGCACTGTAGATTTAGTTCCAATTATAGCAAATAGAAAGATTGATAAAATGTTTTTGGAATCAAACAAAAAAACATTACATTACATTAGTTACATTTCACTTTACTTTGGTCGTAAGTTTCTCTAAAATAATTCCAAGTAGTAGATCTCCTGCCACTCATTTTTATCGTATAATTATAAATTTTCACTAAGAATAACACAACGAAATACTTATTTCTCACAATAATAGTCAAAACTTAAGCATATGCCGGCAATTTGCTCAGTACTAGATGATGTAATAACATGTTTGGTGTGACGGGGGAGCGAGGGGCAGAGTCCGGCTATATCCCGCGCGCTTTACGGTAACAAGTTTCGACATAAATTGGCTAGGTACCGAGGAGATCCTGCCGAATGATGTTCGGCCGAATATTCGGTTCGGTAAAAAGTTTACCGAACATTCGGCCGAATATTCGTAATCGCTAAAATCCATGTTCGGCCCATCACTAGTTGTCACCCGTGAGGACTAAGATGGAATGCCTCGTTTCCAGTAAAAAGGGTCTCTGGTTCTCTACACTCACCATACGAAACACAGCAGCATTAAGCTGCTATTTTATGCTGGTATTCTGTGAGAGCGTGGTCCCTCCCTGTTTGAGCCGACCCATTCGTGCTACAACTATACTACTAATATAACTGCAGCATTTTTTTTTATAGAATAGGGTGACAAACGAGCACACAGTCCACCTGATGGTAAGTGGTTGCTGCGGCCCATAGACATCTACATCTATCCTCCATTAAAAATCAAAATGCAGATGCGTTGTCACCCGTGAGGACTGAGATGGAATGCCTCGTTTCCAGTAAAGTAAAGGGTCTCCGGTTCTCTACACTCACCATACGAAATACAGCAGCATTAAGCTACTATTTCACGCTGCTATTCTGTGAGAGCGTGGTCCTTCCCCGGTCGAGCCGACCCATTCGTGCTACAACTATACTACTAATATAACTGCAGCATTGCATGTCTCTATCACGTAAAAAATTTACGTGAGATTCAATCTAACTCGAAATAGGAATTATAGTAATCTTATTTATTTTGTTTGCTGCTAGTACAATTGTTAGCACAAGTACTGTGTATGTGCGATAAGAAAAAAATATTTAAATTTGTATCATAATATGTCTTTTATATAAGTCTTTTTGGCATAACAATGGTACCAACTTTTAATACTATACGTCGCTTTTCTGTACGGTCTTGTGACATGTTATAATGTTTAAGTACTATTATCCTTATACCGGTATCAACCCGTAATGCGTGTTATTACTTTTTCCTTTCATACATTGGAAAGGACGTTAGTTGTTAGTATTTAAAAAAATATTACGGAGATAAATAATTTCTCCGTACGAAATGTACAGAGCAAATGTCCTAAAGTGACCGTTATATCCTGAATTACAATAAATATGCAGAATATCTCGATTCCAGTACGTAAGTAATATGGTTACGATTTTTTTCCTTTCATTGTATTTCGATTTCTTAATTAGAAAAAAAATTAAGCCCCGTTTTGTAAAAAAAACCTTAAAATGGCTCTACTGTAAAACACCCTTTTGGCGGTTAAGTAGTAGACGATATGTATTGTTGCGCGCCTAAGTTGACGTCTGGCACTAGCGCCATCTAGTGTCGGGTAACAGAGCGAGGAGAGCTTTCCAGATAATGACATGACTAATCTTTCAACCAACAGCGCCATCTAGTATCGAATTGAAGAACTAAGCTTTCTAGAAGCCCTACACTCGAACTTTCTGCGCCTGGTCGGTCAGCGCCCGTTTTTACTAGAATATTCTGGATGTTTCGGTGGAAAATGTGTATTTAAAGCCGCTGAAACCCGCTATCGGGGCAGTATTGAATTTGGCGAGACAAGCGAAGCTTCGGAGCGAAATAAAGTGAATCAGTGTGATTAATTATTAGTGTCTTTTAAGTTTTAATTAGTGTAAAGTGAATTAAAGTGTAAATTTTGGTAATTCAATCAGCAGTTTTTATTGTTACGAACCTCAAGCTCGTAACAATTGGTGTCAGAAGTGGGATAAAATCATGTCGATTTTACCTAAGGAGGAAATGGAGGGTGTCCATACCCGAAGTCAACGCCAGCAGGAGACGGACCAGAGATGATTTGGTGGTGCAACGCCGCAGACGTCAGAGAGCCAACTGCCAGCCACGGAGGCTGGCCAGTCAGCAGCTCCTACACCTGCAGCACCGGACTTAGGTGCTCTGATGGTGATGCTGCAGGAGCAGTCTCGCCGACAGGAGGAACAGGTCCGTCGGTTGGAAGAGCTGCTGCGGGGCGGACGGGACGAACAGGCTCGCCGACAGGAGGAACAGGCCCGCCGACAGGAGGAACAGGCCCGCCGACAGGAGGAACAGGTCCGTCGTTTGGAAGAGCAGCTCAAACGCGATAAGGAAGAGCAGATGCTCCTCATGAAGGACATCCACGCTACCTTCGGAAAAGAGATACGGGAGGTGAAGGATAAGGTTGCTCAACATGACAACCTCCTGTCGGAAGCTGAAACCCGAA